ATACATTTGCACAAGACGTACGTGGCTCGCAATACATTTGCACAAGACGTACGTGGCTCGCAATACATTTGCACAAGACGTACGTGGCTCGCAATCTGGACCTGAAAATTAAGGCGGTGTAGCTATCCTCCGTGACGGTGGCAAGCAATCTCGACTGTCAGGCTTTACATTCAGCTGCGAGTGGATGATTTTGAATAAGAACCTACATTGGAGGTGCTGGATTATCTTGGAGCGAGGTTAACAATCAAGCAGTTAACCATAAGAAATTATTTTTTCCGACATATCCACCGTTCGATAAAAATTTCTATCCACAATTTCTCTATCCACCGTTCGATAAAAAATTTAAAGAAAATGTCAGCGCAGCTATAGGTGTTTCGCTCTCCACCATTGTTTTGAAAAAATTGAAGGACCTCAGCGGGTTTTTTCGTTATCTATGAAATACGGCAGTGAACGACAGCACTATTCAAACTATAAGATTGCTATGCCATGTAGCTTGCATAAGACAGACCAGGTAGCTTGGAGGTTTCCTGCATACATTTTTCATAAAGTTTTGAGCGACTCAAAAGCCGCTCCAAAATAGAGCGACTCAAATGAGGTCTTGCGTCAGGCCTGATGGAGGCTAAGTATCGGTACGTAACCGATATCCCGCGCCTGCATTTGCACTTGGAAAAACGCGTAACAGTGATGCATTACCGTGATGCGTAACAGTGATGCGTAACCGCGATGCGCAGCCGTGATGCGTAACTGTGATGCGTTACCGCGATGCGTAACCGTGATGCATTACCGTGATGCGTAACAGTGATGCGTTACCGTGATGCGTAACAGTGATGCGTTACCGTGATGCGTAACAGTGATGCATTATCGTGATGCGTAACAGTGATGCATTATCGTGATGCGTAAGAGTTATGCGTTACCGTGATGCGTAACCGTGATGCGTAACAGTGATGCGTTACCGTGATGCGTAACAGTGATGCGTTACCGTGATGCGTAACCGTGATGCGTAACCGTGATGCGTAACCGCGATGCGTAACCGTGATGCGTAACCATGATGCGTAACCGTGATGCGTAACTGTGATGCGTAACCGTGATGTGTAACCGTGATGCGTAACCGTGATGCGTAACCATGATGCGTTACCGTGATGCGTAACCGTGATGCGTAACCGTGATGCGTAACCGTGATGCGTTACCGTTATGCGTTACCGTGATGCGTAACCGTGATGTGTAACCGTGATGCGTAACCGTGATGCGTAACCATGATGCGTAACCGTGATGCGTAACCGTGATGCGTAACCGTGATGCGTAACCGTGATGCGTAACCGTGATGCGTTAACGCGATACGTTACCGTGATGCGTAACCGTGATGCGTAACCGTGATGCGTAACCGTGATGCGTTAACGCGATGAAAATGAGAATTCAAGTACAGGCGATGCTGCTGAAGTGTAATTGCAATAAGAAGGCTAAGTTCAGGCAATACGAAAATTGTGCGCAAACATCGTTACCGTGATGTGTAACCGTGATGCGTAACCGTGATGCGTAACCGTGATGCGTAACCGTGATGCGTAACCGTGATGCGTAACTGTGATGTGTTACCGTGACGAATTAATGCGATGAAAATTAGAATTCAAGTGCAGGCGATGCTGCTGAAGTGTAATTGCAATAAGAAGGCTAAGTTCAGGCAATACGAAAATTGTGCGCAAACAACGTGTTAGCAATGTTAATTCGTCCATGTTTGAGGCAAAGAGAAAAACGTGCTCTCAAAAATATCAGTATACAACATTTGATGATTGGAATCGAAAACATCTGGCAGAGGATGAATTAAACAGCAGAGTGACAAATCAAATTTTATTTTCGGCGATTTAATCCGTTCATCCAATACCAATTTCCATATTAAATTAAATAACTTGTAAATATTCTATAACTCATTAGTTTTACTCACCCATGAGCGTGCTGTTGGTCAAGATCTTGAAGAACGATGCAGGGTCCATGTTGGCGGGTAGAATCAACTCAACAATCTTGACTTAAGTCAATAACTAACCTACATGCGGCGAGGTCAAATATCGAAACTGAATATATTGAAATGTTCACATAGGAATGCTTTTGTCACCCACATTTACGTTAATATTACAATTTATATCACTTGGATGCGATCAGTTTTCACTTGTCGGCATGACATTCGATAATGAATATACGATAATCAAGACGATATAGGCGTCTACTTCTTCATTGATTCAGCATCACACTTTACTTCACTGCACTGAATAGTTTTCCAATTAATGTGATCTACCATAGAGTCTATTTCTACATTATATATTTGCACATTCCTCTAATTCAGAAACATCAATAATGACACCACTGTAAGAAAACATCCATTTAGTGAAGGCCGTCTTCTTACATGAAAACGTTCATAAATTTCTTCACTATAAGGCCAACAAAACGCTCCTAAAACTGGATTATATTGCTGCGCTGCGCAATAACTCAAGACATAAAATTTACATGCGATTTGTTTATTTTACATGCATTTTTCTTCTTAATTACCGAAAAATACCCATGAATGACCAGAAAAATATTCTATAATATATCTATTATAATATTATTCCATAGAAATTCTCAAAAAATTGCTCAGATTGCCGCGTATCATCACGACATTTTGAGCTACGTGCCGGTCTTTGCCAAGTAATGACCCCAGAAGTCGCTCATTAAAGCTCCATTAAGGCGGAATCGACTGCATTCTTCAGGAGAATTCCTCTAGGAGAAGCCGGCCCACTCCATGTGCACTGCTATTTGCAACTGAATAAAGATACCTTAAGACTTCAAGTTCACATAAACTTCGAAAATTAAAGCCAAATGTACACGAAAATCAACAATACGAATCGAGATTGAAACATACTGAAGAATCTTGAAGGAAAAGAAGTTTTTTCAAAGGTACGTAGCAAATTCTTGTAACAAAATTGTGCTCACCAGAGCTCTAAATTGAGTGGACAGAAGAACAGAAAAATATTTATAGCATGGTCTGCATCACGTGGATAGGGACAGGGTTTGTTTCCAGTCAGATTACATACTGCGTAAGATATCTCCTAATTAAACATGTAGAGTAAACAACGCTCGAATGAAGAGAGAACAACTTTTTTAGGAACTGTGGAACATCAACGAGGCTCGAAAGGGCCTAATTTAAACAAGCGTTGCTCGCCACTTCGTTGAATTAGGTGCATATGCAGCAGAACCCGCACAATGAAGACCCGTAGACGCGCTGATGAGATTCCTGCAACTAATTAAGCGACGAGTGAAGTAGGTAACATGGACGAGGTGAGTGCGCTGAGTGTGCCGGTGATTGGGATTTTTAAGAAGTAATATATCAGCTAAATATTAATTTATTATACAAATCGAATCATGGATTATCATTCGTCTACACGTTTACCTCTACTCTATAAATCCGTCGTCGGAATCAATGACGCGTTCGCTCAAAACTCTTGGTGCCACCTTCATGACATCTGACCAGCGGTACTCTCGTCATAGGGCGATCAGGCGCACGTTCGATGGTCAAGCTCTCTTTGGGCGCAAGGCTTGTCGGGACGAATTGTTAAGTTATGCTCATCAGAGCAGAGCGGAGTTCTCCTTTTATTCCAGTAGCCAAGTTCGGTCAAAACAACAACGTTCTCAGCACCATTTCAATTAAAGCGAACGGTAGAGCAAACGGCTCCATTAGATGAAGTACATTTTTCGCCGGCTCGTGATCCAACGACCTAATTTTGCTGAGGTTTCTTTGAGGTCAAACTACTCTCGCAATAAAGCTCGATTTCCCCAGGGGCGAGAGAAGACGAGGAAAGAGAGTTTCTTGAATACAATTCGTCATTTCTGCAGCGCCGATGAATCAAAATTAATAGAATAATAATGCAATTATTCACAGGGTCAACTGGAAACAGTTGATTAAATTGTATTGTGTAATTTACTTGACTGTAATTTAAAGCGGTTACGCGGAATATCGCTGCACATTTAATTTATATAAAATTATTGATCGAGATCAATTCATGCAGATTATGTTCTCTCTCACTGCAATGGTGAACTGGGAAGTATATACAAATGCTGCAAGTGCGGCCCAACTAACTCGATAATGACCAGCGGCATAACAGATTATATATAATTATCGTTGCTGCGCAGATGTGCATGAAACTCTCGTCTGTGCTGCAGACGAATGATGGCAGACGAGCGAAACTTCAATTCAGTCAATGACAACAAGTCTTATCATAAGTCTTGCAGCCTTTCTTTAAAACATAACTCATCAAGCTTTTTCTCCCCGTAATGAATAACGAGGTTTGCTTTCTTCCGAATGGGAGCAAGGAACTGTGTAATTCTTCTCGGCCGCCTGAACATTCTGGAGGTGTTCTTTGTCAGGAAAATATGCAGAAGTCGACGCTGCTGGGGAGAAAAATATTTACTCGGAAGCAAAGGGATAAAATTCAGAGATTTTTCAATAGGCTATGGATTAAATGCTCAAGTCTTTACAAAATTTACGGACTATCAGGGTAAACTGGTCGTTTAAAAAAATCTTGATATTGCACGAAAACAAATTGTGCGAGTCGAAATTTAAGACAAGAAGCACTATACCGTAACAAAAATTCCATTTATTCATAATAAAAATGAAATAACTTGAGTGCACATTTCCGTAGTGAATAAGACAACTCACTGGAGAGACGAACAGACAATTAATTACGACTGTTAACAATACAAGACGTGCGAACTAATTAAACAAGTCTCCGCTATGGACTGCTGAGCTTGAATGATAAATACGGGAAGTAAGATGGATTTCACGAGAGGTTGATAGTAATTTTACCGGAACTAGGGTTTTACAGGGTTTTTGGTGGCCATTAGTTGAGCAACTTCTCGGGATTTATTTCAAAATTAACTAAGAGCAAGCTTTCGTGTAAACGGATTGACAAAATTTCAAGATTTTTTATTCACTTTTTACAATAAAAATGATTTACGACTGATTAGATACCCAGTCACAATACTGTAAATCCTTTCCTGTCCAGCACGCAAATTCCATTGTGCACATCTTAATTATTGACACCAAATCAGTCAATTAAAGAGTGTGAAGTTCACAATTCGCGGCTCGGGCTTGGCGTGAGTTTCACTCTGGACGCTCCGTGCGCCTCAAACGCCCGCATAAAATAGAGCTAGGGGGAAATTGTAGCCGCGGCGCCTGATTTTTGGCTCTGCGAGGACTCGAGTGTCTGGCGGGACGATACGTATTCAAATAAGGCTTCATCTGCCGAATTAGGCAGAGCGAGGCCAAGAACGGGCGAGGCTCAGAATTTCGACACCGATCTCGTCCACAGACTCGATAACCCAGATAACCCGCAGCATTAACTTGAAGCGATTTTTGAGTGGATTTAATAAATTTACAGCAAAAGTAAGGGACACAAAATGTAAATTGCGCTTGGAGGAGTACGTCGAACCCACCGCACTTATTTCGATGGAGGCACTGGATAGTACCGAGGACAAATCTAATCATCACATTGATTAGAGATGGTAAAATTTCAAGGGGACATTCTGTTTAATGAAAGCTGATCAACTTTGACAGGTAAACCATTCCAGAAATCTTAATTCTATTGGCAAAAGTTACTCATATTTCCACATGAGCGCACAGTACAGCAATTCAAATTCCAATAATAAATCCGAATTCGACTATTAAATTTGAATATCAGTTCGGACAAAAAATTCTCTCCCAAATTATCTGTCATTGTCATACAAACAACGGCATTTGTCGTTGTCGCGCATAAACGTTACAGTAGAGCTACAAGGATGGCATCTGCGGAGAAATTCTGAGGGTCAATGTGAAGATTAGCGCCGATTAGTAGGAATTACGGGCACAGTTCCTACAAGAGGCCAGAGTCGTCTGGTGTCGTATCTGCACTCGTGGTTCGATCGCACGAAGCATTTAGAAGCAGGCAGTGAGCAGCGACAGCAACAACACGAAAATAATCTGCACAATAAACGGTAAGAAACTGAACAACCGAGGAAAAAATTAGGAACATTCATGCGTTGGCGAACACATATTTTTTTCTTTGTTTCTTCTTACAAAAAAAATTTCTAGAAAAGTAAATGAAAAAACACCGTTAGTCTCTATATTTTTTCTGAAGTAGAAGATACAAGAATTAAATTTAAAAAAAAATCTAACAAACACTAATTGCTATTCTTTCATCACAAAGTTATGGGAGTATCCACAGAGCAATTTTCCACTTTATCCACTTTACAATTCGAAACGCAAATAATTCCAATGCATTGTATAAATAAATCTCATTGTAACATTGATGCATAGTTCAAAGTCAACCTTTGGACAGTGCGATGATGCAAAACGTGTGATGATATCAACCTTTGAACTATGCAGTTGATGCATGGTTTAAAGTCAACCTTGGACAGTGCGATGTTAACAGTTTTGTTTGTTTTGATTAGACGTCAGGAATAACAATTGATCCATTGTTAGACATTTAGACATTTAATCATTAAACGTGAAAGCACAGCCAACACCAGATATACTAATTCTTATCATTATTAATGAGTTTCAATAAAATTTGATGTTCCATTTGACAGCTTTTACTTGGTTGGTGTGGGTGGCAGTTAGCTTCTTGCTAATGTAAGGACTGATATTGGCCCTTTCATCAACACAAACGTCTTTCAGCTCATACATATCTGTGGCTAAATTATTATTAAAATTTCTCGTAAATGTGATATGGGCCTGACAGACTCGACTCGCTAACAGCTGCCATTTCTTCTTTCCTTCGTGTATTTGCATCCTTCCCTTTATAGGTAACGTTTACATCTGAAAGTCTTCAGGCTTAATTCTTGCATAGAACAATAGTTCGTTGCCTTCAAGTCCAATGCTCATGTCCAAGTTCCATAGCGTCTAATTCAGCGACAGATAACGAGAAGGAGCTTAGGAGCTTCGGGCGGAATGGGCTAGCGGGAATATCGAGTGTGAAGAGGAAAA